GTTTTCCATCATTTTCCTAAGCATTTGTGGTTTTCTTTTTTTTCTGCATCTATTCTAGGTTTGTTGGTCATGTCTTTCATCTTGATCATTATTTTTTTTTTACCTGAGGGTTTTTTTTTTGTAGCTACCTTCATTTTTTTTTTATCACTTCTGCTATCATTTCAGAAAGTTCCAGTATGTGACTTCCAATTCTATCTATCTCTTTGTGTTCTGGAGTTATCTTGGCTGGGGTGGTGGTCTGAGGCTGGATTTTGCTTCTGCATCACATAATTTTGTATATTCTATTTTTATTTTGTTTTATTTTCTGTGTTAGTAATTTTAGATTTCTCATGATAGACGTCACTAACATTGGGACTTCTCTAGGAAATGTCTATTCTTTAGAGATATCTTCTATATATAGGATTCTTGGCTTTGGGTCTATCCCAGTGTCCTGCCTTCCCAATTTATTAAAAATTCCAAGTTGCTATTTATTTGGCTCAGGACCCCATTCTCTGATACTGGATTATGGTGATGGTTATTATCCCAGACAATTACAGTGCTGTTATAGGGGGGAGAAAAACTGATTATAATATGCATGATATTCTGTATAAAGTAGTAAAGTTAACAATAACAAAAGCAAAACATAGTCTGATAACTATTAATTTGGTACCTTAAAATATAGGAGGAAGCTCTGAAGTTACATAGCAAAATCCAACATATACAAGGAACCTGTACTCAAGGAATTTCCCATTGTTAGATTAATATTATCTAGATTGGGGGATATTTAAGCAGGGTAGAGGGACAAACTCAGCAATGAATAAATAGAGCTATAATAGAAGCAAGGCTCTAAGGGAAATGATGATCACCTAAGTTTTGAGAAACTTGAATGGAGCACAGAAGAAAAAGAATGAAAGGGAAAGCAAAAGAATATTGAAGCAAACCAGAAAGATAGGAGACTATGTTCACTCACATGATACTATCATAAACTCAAGAGCAGTGAGGGAAGAGAGAAAGACGATGAGCAGAACAAAAAAAATTAAGGTAAGAAACCTAAATAGTAAATAATAATAATAAAGAAAACCAAACCAAACCAAAAAATACATACACACATACATACGTACACCCCAACCAGATTGAAAAAGAAAAACCACTTAAACAAGCAGAGAACTATAGACTCTCTGCATAATCCTTTCTATGTGGAATATTTTATTCAGGACCCTGCCTACAGATGTAGATATGATGTCTATAATAATATATCCATCCTGCATCTCCAAATAGTTCTGAAATGTAAATGCATCAAGTATTTACTATCTTAAATAAGCAAATCAACACTTAGAACACACATACATAAGACAACACTATTCACAGAATTCTAAACTAGTGCTTTCATAATCTGAACTCAATTTTTGTCTCCTAATTCAATGTTTTTTGATCGTTGCTACCTCCTCCATTAAAAGAATGTTTGAATTTCTCAAACCATGTTCTTTTAAAATATTCTGTTGTCTAAACATATCAAAAATGCATTCTTCTAGAAGCAACTTGATAATATAACTCTAGTGAAATAAAGAGAGAAAGCACTTAAAACTATGTGAGCAATATTTAAGATCTGCACTTATCGTTCATTATCTCTGTGGCCAGAGCTAACTCATGCTGAGCTTCAGTTTTCTCCACTGAAAAATGACAAGTAGAAATAACACCTTTGCACAATGTTGTCTTCTCTTTACTTGCAAGAGATAAAACTTTTGAACACTATAGAATAATAAAATGTTATAAGGTATTATCATCATTTGGAAAAGATGAAATGATAGTGTCAGACTACTACACCAAACTTAAATTTCAGTCATTCAGAAAGTTTGAAGATTACAAAATAACAAGAGGCAAGATCTGAATTTATAATTACACAATGTCTAATCTTAAGGGCAGCAAACATGCCTCTCCTTACACTGCTTAGAGCTTAGTTTCACTTTGATGCTAATCACTTTTGCATGTGCATACCTTCTAGATAAATTTTTCTCTTTTTCTGACATAAGTGTATCATTAGTTGCCTAAGAAACACAGTTTGGTAGTACTAACTAATATGGTTTTGGAGGGCAAACCTTTATATTCTACATACTCTGTGTCAATTTTCCTGTAACCTCAATAAAAATTTCAAATAGAATCCATAGCCATATATTATGCTTATAAACTATGGATGTTCTTTCAAAAGTAAAAAGTAAATTTTGAGGCTGTAAAATGAGAGCAATTATCATTTTTCATAATTCACACCTCATATACTTTTATTTCTTACCCTGAACAATGAGTTAAGATTAAAAAATGAGTAAAACTAGTCTAGAAAATAGAACACCTTCACTTTCGATCAGAAATTCTAGAGATGAGAAAATAATTATTCCAGCATTCTGAGCTCTACTAGTTGTTACCATAAGTCATCACTGGCTCTAAAGTTTCTTGGACAGTTTTATTACATTTAAAATACATTTTTTAAAGGTGACATAATGTAAGAGATTTGAATTCAAACAATATTCTATTTAAAATAATGTAATTTGGTCACAATTTAAATTACTTTATTAAAATAAGGGGTACATTTTAATTTAAAAGAAATAACTAAAATAAGTTAAATATCAGAGTATAACTTAGTTGGTAATAGAAAATATTTCTCCATACATTCAACAATCATATAAAAATATACATAGTCTTCCTTCTGTTGTTTCGTGTGGTTGAACTGAACTCAGCAGTGGGTGGTTGTGTGATAATGTAAAAGACTAAATATAACCTAAGTGCCTGGCATCTTACATTTTTGTGCTTGATGATTCAAACTCGAAATGAGAAAGAGAGAGGAAAAAGGAGGAGAAGGATAAGAAATAGGCAGGAGAAGGAAAGAGGAAGAGTTGGAGGAAGATAAAGAAAGAAGGGACAAAGGAGCAAAGGAATGAGAGAAGCAAGTAAAGGACTTCCAGTCATTTTAGCTGTTTCAAGCACTGTGATGGTGAATTACTATAGCAAAGATATTAATTTTGCAGAAAACAGTAATTCTAAAATTACTTGAAATATAATGAAGCTTTTGCTCTACTATGTTTTTCAAAGAAAAGGTTTTACATGTAATGTTTTATTTTGACAATGTGGTCCTAAAAAATACTCATAAGATGGAAGTCCTAGTTTTACTAATTCTACCTCTCAGAAATAAGCATTTTTCTGCTTTCAAATCCATGCTTGAGAAGCAGTTTTAAGAATTCACCTCTTATCAGTTTATTGTTACAACCCAAGGACAACAAGAAGATGCTCTGGGGATATCAGAGATTCACAGCCTGGCCCTGGTTTTTCAGGTCTCTGGTGCTTAACAGAGATTCAGGAAGAATCAATCATACATTCAACCTGACCCAAGTCATTTGGTTTAGCTTGAAACCAGTGAGCACAAAGTTGGAACTCTATGTGACAATAGACTTATATTTGAGTATTAGCATATTTCTGAAAGTGTCATATCAAACTATAAGACAAGAAAATCAATATATGAGGTTAACCGAAGGATTTCTCACCTCTATCCATTGACTGTATTTTTAGTATAGGCTTTATCTACAAAAATAAAATTAATTAATTAATTTTTGTTTTAACAACATATCATTGCCATGCAATTGAATGTATACTGGTCTTGATAAAGTACAAATAGGCTCTTAATCATGCCAGTATCTCCAATAATTACTTAATGTTGCCACTCATTCCTTCACCAAGACAAACTTTAAACCTATAAAATGCCTAATAGATACTTTTAATTGGCTTGCAGTTCTAAAATGAATATCATTATATGTTTTGATTACTTCAATGAATTATGGGTTAAAATCCTAAATGAGGTGACAACTATTAACTCCTTTAGATACCACAAATAAATATATACTATTGTTGTGTATACTTGCATTCTTAATTTCCACAAAGGCTGGTTTATTATGTAATCGATTCTATTTCTTGGCTTTCTCCCTAAGCACTAGATTTTAAGATCTGCCCAAGTGGCACGTGAATCTTGAAATCAGTTGTTTTTAATTGCAGTACTAGATGGCACATGCCAAGCATATTTTATTTCTTCCTTCCTTGCAAAGGCATCAGAATTGCTTTCAATTTCTCACCTCCACAAATAACTCACTTCAAGGAACACACATAATTTCCTATTGGCCTGTATAAAGATTACTATGAGAGTTATAGGAAGAAAGTAATTGATGACTAAGTAGTAACATATTTTTCTTCAAAAGAACTGTACCATGCAACCAAGAGACCTTTAGCATTCTTGAATTCCAAAAAGTCAACAATAATTTACAGTAGGAACCAGGGTAAGATGATGTCTGAAATCCCGTGAATGTTTGTTTTTATTTGCATTCCTATTACTATCATATGTTTGAAATCTCTACATAAAAAAAAAAATCTGTGCTCTCTTTTACTGAACAAAATTCTAAAATTTTTAATCCAATCCCAATAGTTGAATTGTTGCCCAATGATGGGGGCTTTTGAAAATTGTTTAGTATTTTCCTATACCTTTGTCACAAACAAATTCATTTTTCTTCAAGTTATAGCTTATAGTACCTGTAGATCTGTAAAGCATTTAGAGTTCTTTTTTATATGAACAGTTTTGCCTTCAATATAGATAACATTCAATTATCTCAAAACAGTAGATATATGTCAAAAACTGGAGTATGACAATGACAAAGAATAAGAGAAATTATAATAACTGAAAAAATACATTCATCAAAGGAAAAATGAATGAGAATTATTTTTAAGAATTTCAACTTCTAAATCTATTTTCAGATTTTTGCAGATGTATTCTAAAACAAACACAGTAAAAACATTTTATGAAGCACTATACATGAATTCAAACAGATTTCAACAAATATTGTGCTGGCAATAGTATATTGAAAATGGGCTCATTAGAAGAAATATATCTCTTTGTGACCCAGCCCATGGATCAATCCATGGGGTATATACCTGGAGGGGGAATGGGGATGAATAAAACAGGGCAGGAGACAAAGAGAGATGGAGACAAGTTGAGGAGTCCAATCAAGTCTCGTTTATTCAGGAAGTGGTCACATCCTTTATGGGCCGAGGGCAGGCTGGTGGGACAGGAAGAGGGTACGGGGTGGTTTCTGATGGGTCATCATGACCTCCGAGTATGTGACATAAACAGGAGAGGATTATGGTTAATATAGGCAGGCGCACTGGGGCTGTTGCGCTGCTCCCTACATCTCCTCCCTTTTTATATTATTTAATCAGGAGTATGGTAGGCCCTGTGAGGACAGCGCCTGTCTTAGGTCAAGGACTTCATTACATGAGTCCAACCAGGTCTTACCCATCATGGGCTTGCAGGACAGCAGTTGGTCCTGTGCCTGTCTTAGGCGGCTGGTGGTGTAACATGTATGTCCTAGTTACCCGTCTCTGGCTGCCTGTCCATTGCCCCAGGGCAGTTGTGCCATATCGTCTTATGGGCCACTTGTGGGAATTCTTTCCCAGCAGGTTTGTTGATCTGCCATCTCCAGCTGGTGATAGTGTACCTGAATGGGCTTTGCCATAAACGCGTCTATCCGGTTATTAATGAGTGTCATAATCCTCTGAAAAATACAAGCACCCACAGAGAGGAGAAGCAGCAGGGCAGCTAGGGGACTCAAAAGGGATGCTAAGTAAGGGAAAAGTCCCCCCCTCACATTGAGGAGAAGGAGTTAGCAGCCATTTGTTGTCACCGCTGTTGAAGTCATTCTTCTTCTATTTCTTGGAGCTTGCCTTACACAACACCAGACTGACTGACATAGAAGCAACATTTTTCCTGTAAGGCAAGACAGATTCCCCCCTGCTCTGTTGTGAGCAGTTCTAGCCCTCACCTGTTTTGTAAGACGACCTCTGCCAGTGAGTCTAATTGGTTTTGGAGACTTTTTAACGTAAAGGATAAAGCTTGAACATCTTCAGACAACTGGTTGGACAGGTCAGCATATTTATCTAAGGCAAAGGCGAGGCCAGCAGTACCCATGGCTACAGTGCCAGTGATGTCCATTCCCACTAAAAGTGGGATCAGTGTTACCACTCGTTTTTGGCGGCCAGCAATGTAATCAAGTGTTGGCACTGGGACAGGTTGGTCACCTGAGACAATATCTATGTCAGGCAGGAGGGAAGCAGTTATGCATGCACCTGTCCAGTTGGCTGGAATATAGGTATAGGCCCTATTATTACTGCAGACAAAAATGTGTTCTGTTGGGGGGAACAGGGGGCCTATATGATTGACAAATTGAACACAGGCAGTGGACAGGAGATGGCCCATATCTATAAGGGTAGAATCATTTTGGAGAGAGCCCTGTAGGGAGGTCATGGATATGTTGGGTGTTATTAATGGCTGGACTAGAAATGATTGGGAAGGTCTACAGGTAAAATTATGTGGATCACGAGAGGGGTCAATTGTTGAGTTGGAGGGGATGGCTAAGGGCATAGGAGTGCCTAAGGCCATGCACAACCAGCAGTCTTGCGCTAAAGCAGGGTTAATGAGGTTAAGTACATGGTGAGGGGCTAAAAGGATATGATAAGTTTGTGGGTCTAAGTCCATACCCCATGATTTGGGGAAAGCTAACGAGTGGTAATTGATCTTTGGGAATAGACTGTCTTCTATTTCTTTTAGTTTTTCCTCAACATAAAGTTCTCTCATTTTGTCTTGAGGACCTCCCCCATCTGAGACATGGATTGGAGCCCTCTTATACCAACAGACTGGCTTGTTGATTTCACCTTTGCAGGAGGCTTGGGTGTATATGGGGCTTCCTGATACAGAGGGGTTGAAGCCCCAATCACCTCTGGCTGCTGCCATTTTTATTTTTGTAAGTATGGCTTTAAAATGAGTGGCATTATCTAAGCCAGTACAATCTTGTACAGCATCATAACAGGAGCTATGCATCTCTATCTGACATGACTTATACTCCTGTGGGCAAGGCCCTGTTCGGTTATTTTGTTTGGGTATAACTTGGGGTTTAGTTTTGCATTCCCAATTTTGAGTATATCCCCCTGTAGGAGAGGGCCAGGCCCTGAGAACCGCTAGCTTATTACTGCAGTCTATTTGGCTGGTTTGTGTTCCTCCAGACTGAGAAGAGCCTCCTCTGCAGTCACAGGGGGTTCCGTACATGGCTGTCAGCAGTTGTAGTCTGTTTGGCAGGGGTCCAAATCCACCATGGGTGTGGTACAGTCTGAGGAGAAGGCTGAGTAGGCAGCACAGGGCTCTGGGGAATTGTGTCATCTATAAAAGAACACAGGGGGTTGTGCCTCAGGAAATGACATTATTCCTGGGCGTTGCATGGGGTCTTTGAAGAACTGTCTACTTGTTTTACAAGGCACTCGGGTAGCCATCTAGCCTCTCTGTCTTGTTAAGAGTAAACACATACTGAGCCTTATCCCCAGATAAGGACTGGGTTGGGGCCATTCCACGTATTGGTTTGTGGGTCCCTCCAGAAAACAGACGCAAATCGTGTTTGAGCTTGAGTATGCCAAAACTGAGATGCCGCGGAGCAGCCTAAAGCATCCAGGGTCAGAAAATTTAAAATGAAGAGAGCATGTGAAAGGATATTTCTAGGGGACCCCTGGATTGGGTACCATATCCCGCCTTTAATTTTGTCTATGGTGAGTTTAAGGGAACGGTGTGCATGTTCAACAATGCCTTGTCCCTGAGGATTATAAGGTATACCTGTGGTGTGGAGGATATTAAGGCACTTGCAAAATTGGGCAAAGGAGGTAGTGGTATAGCCAGGGCCATTATCAGTCTTGAGCTGTTGAGGACATCCCAGAACTGAGAAGGCTGACAGTATATGGGCTATAATGTGTCTGGCAGCTTCTCCAGTCTGAAGAGTGGCGAAAATGAAGCCACTGTATGTATCAATAATTACACGTATATATTTTAGGTTGCCGAACTCATGGATATGAGTAACATCCATTTGCCACAAGGCGTTAGGGATTAAAACTTTTGGGTTGACTTCCAGGTGTTGAGCAGGTAAGTGGATAGCACATGAAGGGCAATTTTTTACAATTTGTCTGTCTTGCTCACAGGTAATTTTGTGGAGGAGTCAGAGGGTTTGAGCATTGAGGTGGTGTAGCTAATGGGCCTGTTGGGCCTCAGACACCTTAAAGTCATCTGTAGGCTCAAAATGAGTCATAAAGACCTGTGCTCATGTGGCAACATCAGCCAAATGATTTCCTCGGGCAAGGGGCCCAGGGAGGTTGGAATGGGCCCACAGATGACCAATGAAGAACTTATGACAGCGAAGCCATATGAAGTCTTGTAGTTGTTTGAGCAAATTTGCAGCTGGGGAAGCATGACAGATGGTAGAAACAGTCTCTAATAATGGAACAGACTGAGTGAGGTAAGCACTGTCATTATACAGATTGAAGGGTTGGTCGGGGTACTGCAAGAATAGCCTGGAATTCTGCTTACTGGGCAGAAGAGGTGCCTGTCTGGAGGGTAAAAACATTGTCCTGGGATACATAAGCAGCCCTGCCGGAGGAGAGCCATCAGTGAATAACTCCGGAGCGCCAGGAAGAGGTTGTGGAGCTGTGATCTTAGGGAATATAAATGCGTGACAGTTGGCAAAGTCAACCAGCTTATTTGAAGGGTAATGATTGTTGATAGTCCCTGAAAAGGAAGCTAAGGCCATAGGCCACACTTCCGTAGTATCTGAAGTAGCCAGTCCAATTGGTCCTTTCTAAAAGGTTGAATAATAATGTCTGGTTCTTTGCCAAAATAACATTTTGCTTGCTTTCTACCCTGAATTATTTGGTCTGAGACAGCTTGGAAATAAGGCAGGAGTATTCTTTTTGGGGAGACCAATAAATGGACCCACATGAGAGGAGCTTGTTGCCAGAACACCACTGTGGGACAAAGCTTTGTACTGAAAATGAGAAATTGTAAAGGCTGACTGTAGTCCATAAAGGAAACAGTTTGTTGAGCAATAGCCTCTTCTACCTTACTGAGTGCTCTCCTGGCATCAGATGTAAGCTCTCGGGGGGAGGTTGGGTCTATGTCTCCCTGAAGCAGCTCATAAAGGGGCTGTAAGTCATGTTTAGTTAGTTTTAAAAACAGTATCAGTCAATTAATGTCTCCCAGTAGTTTTTGGAAGTCATTAAGCATCTTGAGGCCATCAAGCCTCAGTTGGGGTTTTGGAGAAAGTATTTGAGTGCCTCGTAATTGAAAACCCAAGTATGTATATGGATCAGTAAGCTGTACTTTTATCAGGGGCTATTTTAAGTCTAGCCTCTTGTAAGGCAACCTGTAGTTCCTGGTAGCATGTTAGGGTTTGTTTTTGGTCATCTCCTGCTAAGAGGATGTCATCCATATAATGGACAATATATATATTTGGCCAATGATCTCTGACCAGCTGTATCATGATGGTGACAAAAGACTGACATAGCATAGGGGAATTAGCCATCCCTTGTGGGAGGACTTACCATTGAAATCTGTGCATAGGTGCTCTGAAATTAATCGATGGAAGGCTAAAGGCAAAACGTTTTTGGCCATCTGGATGCAAGGGAATAGAAAAAAAGCAATCTTTAAGATATAACAATTTTAAAATAACCTAAAGGGATAGCACTGGGTGAAGGGAGGCCTGGCTGTAAGGGTCCCATTATGACCACAGTCTTGCTTATCACCCTGAGGTCTTGTAGTAGTCTCCATTTACCTGATTTCTTTTTAATGACAAAAATGGGAGTATTCCATGATGAATCACTAGTTATTTAACTGGTCTTGCACCAGCTGTTGAGCAGCCATAAGTTTTTCAGAGGTAAGGGGCCATTGATTGACCCATACAGGCTCTTCTGATAGCCAGGTAATTTGTTTTGCATGGATTGCAGGAGTGTCAATGGCCCCTATGGAAAATGGCCTAACCCAGCTTTGGCATTTTTAGGGGTGGGAATGATAGGATCTTTAATGCCCATGTTATTTTTTCCTAAGCCCTGTTTTGGCAGGTAGCCCTGGTTTAGCATTTGCGCTGTGACAACATTATTAAGGCTTCCCATAATTAGTCCCATTTGGGAGAGTAGGTCTCTCCCCCATAAATTAAGAGGCAGACTCTCTATGACATAAGGTTGTAAGTATCCCTGATTATCTTTTTGATCTCTCCAAACCAGTTGTTTGGAACTGCCTTGTGGATTTTTTGATTGTCCAATCCCTTGGAGGTGTGTTAAAGTTGTCTCTAAAGGCCAGACAGCAGGCCACTCCTCCTTTTTGATAATGGTAACATCTGTGCCCATATCAATGAGGCCTGAAAAACTTTTTCCATCTAAATGTAGGGTCATGAGGGGCTTTTCTTTGGAGATATGTTGGACCCAATATACATCTGAAGTCCCAGGAAGGGAGTCCCCCCTGTAGGGAGTTATGGACTTGTTAGACATTCAAGCCAATGGCAACAGCAGCAATTGAGCAAGGCGTTGCCCTGCCCTGACTGGTATGACACCAACAAGGGGAGAAGCCATGACTTTTATTTCCCCTATGTAATCACTGTCTACTATCCCAGGCAGAACTTGTAATCCTTTAAGCATAGTACTACTACATCCAACAATAAGTTCAAAAGTCTCTTGGGGAGGGGGTCCATAGAACCCGAGGGGATGACCTGGACACCCATGTCAGGGGTTAATACTGTGTTGAAGGTGGAACAGAGGTCCAATACTGCACTCCCTGGGTTTGCCCTGAAGAGGTCTGAAATGGATTGTTTTGTGCTGGGACAAATCTTGGAGCCCCAGGGGTTTGTGTGGAATTGGGGGCCTGAAGCTGGCCCCATGTCCCGTTTCCCTGTGGGAGAAGAGGGTTGCTGTGAACATCCCTTTTGGATTTGCATTCATTAGTCCAGTGGTCTCCTCATTTGCATCTGGGACATAGCCTTGGTTTTTTTGTAGAGGACTGGTTTTGACTTTTACTTTTGCAATCACGAGCCATGTGGCTACTTTAGCCACATTTGAAACAAGCGGCATCTTTTTTAGGATGAAAGAGGAGCTGTTTAACTGTGCAACCTTGTTGTGCCACAGCCATGGCTAGGCCTTGATGATAAGTAGGCCCAATATCTGCGCATAGGCAAATATAACCCAATAGGTCCTCCTTTTTGTTATGGGGTCGAATTGCAGCTTGACAAGCTGAGGTTGCATTTTCATAAGCCAATTGTTTGACCAGGGCAGAGTTTGTTTCTGTGGAGCTGAAAAGACACTCTGCTGCCTGTAGGAGGTAATCAACAAAGTCTGAAAAGGGCTCCTCAGGCTTTTATTTTATTTGGGTGAGAGACAAGGTAGGCTCACCTCCTGAAGGGAGCCGTTTCCACACTCTAGTGGCTGCCACGTTAATCTGCACAAAGAGGCCCAAATCAAACCACATTTGGGTCTCTTTTGTGGCAAAATCTCCTGTTCCTGTAAGCATAGCGAGGGTCCAGGGGTTTTGCTGTGCAGCGTTATTTCTGGCTATGCCCTCACATTGATAAAAAAAATTCAGATTTCCACAATAGATAATTGCCTCCGGAGAGGGTGGCTTTTGCTAGTCTTTCCACTCATTAGGAATAATACAGCCCTGAGTCAAAGAATCTAGAACCACAATGGTATAGGTGGTAGTTGGGCTGTATTGAGAGAATGCAGCCTTTAACTCTTTTAGGGCTGTCACGGTAAGAGGTATGTGTATCCTAACTGCTTGTGGTTCAATGCCTTCTTCAACATCCCACAGGGGAACAATGGCCTCCATGACTGGGAACACCATTTTGGGCTGGCTGCTGGATGCAGGCGCCATTTTAATAGCACCATGAGGCTTGCCGGAGGCAGGTGCCATCTTAGGGGCACTATAAGGCTGTGTAGCTCAGAGGGCCTGCAATTGAGTTGAAAGATTTTGGCATTCTTTTTCTAGCTGTATCTGTTTTAAAAGATCCCTTTTTCTTTGTTCTAATTCTGCTAGTGTGCTAGAAGGTTGAGGGCCAGCTCTACATACATCATCATAGTCAGGGGGCAGCTTAATGGCGGCCAGTGCCGCAACAGGGTCAGGGTGGTATGTAGAGGCTTGTTGTGCTAGTTGTTCCCAGTTGACCTCTTGAAAATCAGAGAGGTCAGGGTATAAAGACTTATATGAATCCCCATTTGGCCATGGAGGTATGGGGGGGGTGGCGGGCTGCCATCTTGGAACCTGTCAATCATGTCAACAGGAGGAAGTGGTGGCAGATTGCCATCTTGGAGGATCTCTAACAGGTCATCAGCCTCTGCATCTGAGGTCAGAGGCTTCAGATTTTTCTGAGGACAGTTTTGGGGTAGGATTAGCGGTGTCACGAGGGCAGCCTCACCTTGTACAACCATCTGTTCAATCTGAGGATCTGCATGCCTCTGGGTCAGCAGCTCAGAGATTAAATTCCAGTATGCAAAGGTGGTCACCAGAACCTTTTCAGGACCGAAGACCCTATAATAATCTTTTAGAGCATCTCCTACTCTTTTCCACCTCTTGGTATCTATAGAGACCTCTAGGGGGAACCAAGGGCAAACTTTATGGATAAACTGAAAATACTGTAATAATTCTTTTGTTCTAACCTTTACCCCTCTTGTCCTTAATGCCTTGCTAAGGCCTCCCACGAACAATTCATGTTCGCTCAATGCTTGACCCATGTCGGGGAAAGGGGATGGGGTTGTCTTTCACTCACCATGGCTTGGGCGGCAAGTCGGGCGGTCGTCCACACAGGCCTCGGTCCTTGATTCAATTTGCTTTCACTTTCAGCTGGGGTTCTCAAACAGCTCCCTTGTTGACTCCCCTGTGCCAGGAGCCCTCATGCTGGGCACCACTTGATCCGGCCCATGAATCAATCCATGGGGTATATACCTGGAGGGGGAACGGGGATGAATAAAACAGGGTGGGAGACAAAGAGAGATGGAGACAAGTTGAGGAGTTCAATCAAGTCTTGTTTATTCAGGAAGTGGTCGCATCCTTTGGGGCCAAGGGCGTGCTCCGAGTATGTGACATAAGCAGGAGAGGATTATGGTTAATGTAGACAGGCACATTATGTGCCCATAGGAGAGAGCCCCGGGGAGGCAGCACTGGGGATGTCACGCCACTCCCTACATCTTTGTAGGATCAAGAAATGAAATATGTTCCCTCTCTCCCAATGTATTTCCCATACCTATTTTTTCTATTTTGCTAATAAATGAGAAATTAATGATACTATATAATTTTTCTATGAAAATTTGCATTTTAAAAATTTCTTCTCAAACAAAAAATATTTTAAAGTAATGTTAAGCATCTCATCTAAGCCATTTTCTAAGTTTTTGAAATATCATGTGAATATATTTGGTTTTTAAGATAGAAGATTATATATTCTGTAAGGTCAAACATTCCAGAAGAATACTTATTTGATAAGGACAATTACAATTTTATAGAAATGATATGACAATGATATAAATACCTAGATTGATTGTGCATACAAAATGTTAATTGGAGGAATACTGTAAGATATAAGAAATGTGATGCTTATTATTTAGTGTATCTCCTACCTTAACAGATATTTATTAAGAATATTTCATTAAAAGCTACATTGTTCATGTTCTATCATGAAAATAAAATTTTCAGATTTTATTTCCTTTTAAACATAACAGTGATAAAAACTATGAATGTTGAAAACTACAAAATAAGTTAAATAATTTTAGAAGAACCTATTTAAAGATAAAAACAAAAATTAAACTTTAGGACAGCCACAGAATCATTGGCTGCCTCTCCTCTTCACCCAATGAGGTTATAGAAGAAATCAGATTAGAAATATGTCTCACACAAAGAAACAAATGACACCATAATAAAGGAGTTGCTCAGCATATTTAGAGAAGATATAGATTTTAAAAAATAGTACATTAACATAGGAAAGTGATGGAAACCTCAAATGAATAATATAAAAAAGATGTAGAATACATGAAGCAAATTCAAAGAGATGCCCAAGAAAAATTCTATTGAAAGCTGGCAAACCATTTGAATGAGGTGAAGATAGAATTTCAGACCCTGAGAACAGGATCGCAGCTAATAATCATGAAAGGAAAGAAGTTTTAAAAATAACAAGGCAGCATGAAATGACAATTCAACAGCTTCAAGATGATGCTGGGACAGCCACAGTATCATAGGTCACTCTTTGACCCACCCAAAGACAACAGCAGCCCACTGTCAATCAGCAACCCCTTCTATCACCTGCAGAGATGGTGGGTTGATGGGAGACTCAGCAAACTCTCACCCTCACAGAGGACCTCAGTAGGCTTGCAACAGTGTGGTGAATTTTCTCCTCAAATAGAGGATGTCAGTGGGTAAACAGGAGCAGTGGCAAACTGCCCCCAGCTGTAGTACCTTGGCAAGCCCAGCAAGAGTGTGGATGAGTCCTTCTTCCATACAGAGAACACCAGTGGGTTGAGGAGAGTGCAAATAAGGCCTCCCCCTCCCGGAGGAAATCAAAAAGGCTTACAAGACATTCTGTGATATATTAAGAGTCCCAGCTGAGGCAAACACTATAGCCAGGTAGATCTGGTAGCCTGGTACAGCCTGAAGCTGTAGTAACACTAAGAACTAAAGGTTGACTTAAATCAATACTTCTTGGCTAGTCAGCCTAGGAAGATTATAGGACTTATGTAACAGGCCCTTCATGAGGAATTCAGGTGACTGGCCCACTCCTTCATTGTGGGACCCAGCAATTGGGCAAACATCACCACACAGTAAGACCCTAAGACATACACTATAGGCAGTTGAGACTAGTGGGGTTGAAACACTAAATATTAGCTCAAGAGGTTAAAATGACAAAATGAAAGAGCAAAACCTTAGACATTCAGTCCATCAGGAACAAGTAAGTACAGGTGACATCAAAACAGAGGACATTAAAAGTCATACATTTGAAAGTTTTGGAAAGATAGCAGGTGAAATAAACAAATCTATGAGGTTATAGAGGAAATCAGATTAGAAATGTGTCTCACGCAAAGAAACAAATGACACTATAATAAAGCAGTTGCTCAGCATACTTAGAGAAGATATAGATTTTTTAAAAAATAGTACATGAACATAGGAAAGTGATAGAAACCTCAAATGAATAAAATAAAAAAGAAGTAGAATGCATGAAGCAAATTCAAAGAGATGCCCAAGAAAAATTCTATTGAAAGCTGGCAAACCATTTGAATGAGGTGAAGATAGAATTTTAGACCCTGAGAACAGGATCGCAGCTAATAATCATGAAAGGAAAGAAGTTTTAAAAATAACAAGGCAGCATGAAATGACAATTGAACAGCTTCAAGATGATGCAAACAGAAACAATATAAATTGATAAGCATCAATGAACATGCTGAGGTGAATGCAAATAACATAGGAAAGCTATTCACAGAAGTGATAGCAGAAAATTTCCCAAACATGCAAAAAGAAACTGATATATAGATGAGTGAGGCATATTGTATACTATGAGTCATAACCAAAATAAATCTACACCCAGACATAAAATAATTAAGATTACACACAAACAGCATAAAAACAGAACACTAAAAGGTGTTAGAGAAAAGACACAACTCACCTATCAAGGAAAGCCCATTAGAATCGTGGAAGACTTTTCAGCACAAACCATTAGGTTAAGATGAGCTTGGAGTGAAATCTTTCAAGCCCTAAAAGAAAATGACTTTCAACCCAGACTGATGGATCCTGCAGTTTTTGTTGAAATTTAATGAAGAGGGTCTGGGGATTTAGCTCAGCAGCATAAGCGCCTGCCTTGCAAGCAGGCAGTCCTGAGTTCAATCCCTGGTACCAATAAAAAGGAAAAAGACCAAAAAAAAAAAAAAAAAAGAAATTTAATGAAGAAACAAGATACTTCCATGACAAAGATTATAGGACTTATCCAACAGGCCCTTCACGAGGAATTCAGGTGACTGGCCCACTCCTTCACTGTGGGACCCAGCAATTGGACAAACATCACCACACATTAAGACCCTAAGACATACACTATAGGCAGTTGAGACTAGTGGGGCTGAAAAGAAAACTGGAAGAAATTCATGTCCACCAAACCAACCCTAGGAAGAGTACTGAAAGCTATCCTAGAGAGAAATAAAAGTGACTACAATTTCCAGAACAACAACAGAAAGAAACTACCAGGCAGGGAAGCAATTAAATAAAGGGGCAAAGCAGAAAACCAACAGGAAAGTAACATAACAAAATTGAGCAAGTACATATCAGTCATATCCATCAATGTAAATGTCTTCAAATCACTATTGAAAGAAATTGATTGACAGAATGGTTCAAGAAACAGGATCCAACAATATGCTGTATACAAGAAACACATCTGGCTCAAAAGGAAACTCACAGACTAAAAGTCAAAGGATGTAAAACAACATTCCATATGACAGGAACCCAGAAAAAAAGCAGGGGTAGCTATCCTGTTTGCAGACAGGATATGTGAGCTTCAAACTAAAAATGATCAAAAGAGATAAAGAAGGTCACTACATACTTGTCTGGGGAATAATTCAAGAGGAAGAGCTAACAATCATAAACATATGTGTACCAAATATAAGAGCACCAACTATATAAGACAAATACTAATAAATATTAAAACCAAATAATCAACAACACAGTTGTAACAGGGGACCTTAATATTCCATTGTCACAAGAGATAGATCAACTAGACAAAAAGTTGGAAAAGAAAAAATGGAATCAAACCTGTGACTTAAGTAGATGTTTACAGAGTGTTACACTCAACTATATCAAAATACGTATTCTTATCAGCTGCACATGGGACATTCTCCAAAATAGGCAGTGTATTAGCCCATAGGACATTCTTAAATGCAAAGGGATTGAAATTATCCCATGTACATTATCTGATTTTAGTGCACTGAAATTGGAAATTAGTGTCAAAACAAATTGCAAAACATGCATAAATACATGGAAATTAAATAACAACCTCTTGAACAATCAATGAGTTACAGGTGAAATTAAAGAAGAAATTAAGCAACACCTACAATTCAATGAAAATGCAGATACAACATACCGAAACATATGGCACACAATAAAAGCAGTCCTGAAAGGGAAATATATATCAATAAATTGTTACATCAAGGAAACAGAATGAGCACAAATAAACAACCTAATACTACACCTCAAGCTTCTAGAAAAAGAAGAGCCAATAAAACTCAAAGCTTATAGAATAGAGGAAATTATAAAGATCAGAGCAGAAATTAATGCAATTGAGACTAAGAAAACAATGCAAAGAATTAATGATTCTTTGAGAGAATAAACAAAATTGATAGATTTTTAGCCAGTCTTATCAAGAAAAAGAAAGGAAAAAACTGAAATTCATGCAATAAGGATTGAAAGACGAGAAATTTTACAGATCCCATGGAAATGCAGAAGATCATGAATATCTACTTTGAAAATCCTTACTCACGTAGGGTGGAAAACACAGGGGAAATGGACAGATTTCTAGACGTGTGAGTTACCAAATCTGAACCTAGAAGATATTACAATTTTGAATAACCCAGTATCAGGTACTGAAATTGAAAACATGAATAAAACCTTACCAACAAAGAAAAGCCCAGGTCCTAACACATTCATGGATGAATTTTTAAAAAATTTAGAGAAGATTTAATGTCAGTACTCCTCAAACCCTTTAATGAAATTCAAAGAGAAGCAATTCTCCCTCGTTCTTGGAGTATTATACTCTGGTAATACTCTGATAACAAGACCAGAGAAAGACCCAAGTAAAAAGAAGAACTATAGGCCAATATCCCTAATGAACTTTGATACAAAAATTCTCAATAAAATACTGGCAAATAGAATGCAGAAAATCATCAAGAAGTTTATAATCATGACCAAGTGGGATTTATCACAGGAATACAGGGATGGTTTAACATACACAAATCAACAAATGAAATATATCACAGCAACAGAGCCAAGACCAAAAATCATATGATCATCTCTACATATGCTTTTGACAAAGTCTAACAGTTGTTTATGATAAAAACCCAACAGAAATTTGAAACAGATGGTATCTACCTCAAACTGATAAAGGCCATCTATGACAAACCAAGAGCCAACATTATACTAAATGGACAAAAACAAAAATCTTTCACTCTAAAATCAGGAACAAGACAAGATGCCCACTATCACTCCTCCTATTCAATATAGCTCTGGAAACATAAGCCAGAGAAATTAGACAAGAGAGAGAAATAAAAGGAATAAGGATATAAAATGAAGAAATT